GGTCAAAAAGTTCTTTTCGAAGGGTTTAAGTCTTATCTCGAGCTAGATATGAAAAAGCTTAATCCTAAAGATACTCCAAACCTTATTATTAGTCCCGAAAGCATTCATAAACTCGGAGCGACCGGCTATGATGTGATTATACTGGATGAATTTGAAACAATTACGCAGAATTTTAGCGGACCGACTATGAAAAAACCAAAGTTAAGCCATGACGTTTATAAATCGTTACTTCAATCTGCTCTGATTATATTGGCTTTAGATGCTACATTAGATTCGGATTCGCTTGTACATTTACAGAATCTCTCGAAAATAGATTCCGATAATTCAACCGTGATATGGAACAAACATATAAGAGATACTCGCAAAGCTCTTATACATATAAATAACAAAAAATGGAACGCTGAATTAATTGGAGCTCTCAGGCAGGGGTTAAAAGTCTATATTCCAATGTTTGCCAGTGCAGAAATGGCAGAAGCCCTTCATAAAGAATTGACATCTCATGGATATCAAGGTAAATGTTTTTCCAAACGCCTATCAGAAACAGAGAAAAAGGAAATATTTGCTGATGTCAACGATGCAGTGGCAAATCTCGATTATTTAATAGCAACTCCAGTCATGACTTGCGGTGTAAGTATAACAATAGAAAACTTCGATATGACGTTTGCTCATTTCCGTACATTGGCTGGTTTGACGTACAATGAAGCGTATCAGATGTTGCATCGCGTTCGAAGGCTGAATTGCAATGTAGTACATGTTCTAACGGATTTACGTGGCGATAATTTGCCGACAGACCGTGAAGATTTACTTCGTTTTATCGGCTATCGATGTAATGTCCCGGAATATCCTGACTTAGAGGAGGCTCATTGTGATAAAACACTTACTCCTGATGGCAAGTGGATTTTTAAACCAAACGCATCTTTAGAAACTCATCTCTACAATGCATCCCGCCGCAATACGTCTAGAAACGATTTTGTAGGTTTATTAGCTGACCGTCTTAGTGAATGCGGTTATGACATTAGTATTGCTGAAGATTGTCCCTCCATTGATTCTACACTCACGATAGACAAGGAGGGCAAAGACTTGCTTAAGAATATACGTGTTATTAAAAAAACTCTGGATATGGAAAAATTTTCGTCAATTGCAAATGCTCGGGTTCTGGATGAAATAGAAGCTTTACACATTCTCGAACGTTTAGAAAGAGAGGAGGATATAGACCCAGCTCATAGGCTTGCTTTGCAAAAGTATAATTTAGCGCATTTTTATAAGAAAGCCCCAGAAGATATAACGGTAGATTTTGTAGAGACTTATTCTAAAAAGGAAATGCGAACTGCGTATAGCGCGCTGGTTCAGGCTACGGATTCCTTGGATAACTTGCGTAATAAACATAGACTCATAATAGAGAATGATCCACGAGAAAAGGCTTCTTGCGATTCGTTATTGCCAAAAGTTATTGCGTTAGAGGAAATTTTGCGAGGCATAGGTTTCCCTTCGGGCATTCACACATCTTCTGCTTTATCTCGTAAAGACTTTGATGCTAGCTTATCAAGCTTCTTACCGATTTATAGGAAAAATGAACATCGTTATTATGCAGTATTTGGTAAGAAATGGAGACCGCATTCTAATTATAATCTAAAATATTTCACAGAATTTCTTGAAAACCCGCTAAAGGAATTCAAGATATTACTTGATCGAAAAAAAGACCGTAATAAACAACCTACGCACTTGAGACTTGAGATAGATGGACATCTAAAAAGGGTTCTTTCCGGTGCCTGTTCAACGACTGCGAATCCGTCAAAACCAAAACACAATCTTACAGCTGAGAAAAAAATACCCGCGCCCGCAATTTCTCCATCTTCAGAATTTTTTATTAAAAACGAATCGGATATAGATACCATTATCCATCTTTTACAGCAAAAATACCGAATGCCGCGAGAAAAGTTGGAACAATGGAGAGACAAGATTGCGTTTGAGTTTCGGGATAATACT